GTACTTGATATTTATGTTCGGCTCCTTGAATTAAAGCTGAAAGTCTGCACTTCAAATTTATTTGGATTGTTTCATTTTAATTTATTCTGGTGGCATACAGAGCCAAAAGTATGAAAATTGTGCCTGTGTCCAAATATATATGGACCTAACTATGAACTTGTAATAATAATATTTGTGGCAGGATCTCTGTAGGCGATCCTCCTGTGCAGAAGTACACAGTTTTATAAAGATTGAGCCAGTGATTGGCCTTCATTTCACTGTTCTGGCTCCTAGGATTGGTCAAATCAATTCCATATTGATTGGAATAAAGGACAGTTTATCACATTATTTTTCCCAATACATTTGTGTGGGGATGAAACAGGAATACACAGAGATTTACAAAAAACTGATTTAATTTTAAATAAGCAGCATGTCAAATAAAGACATTAAAATACAAGCAGAACAGTAAGGAAATAAACATCTGACTAATGAGAAATCGTCCTGTAATAATATTCCAGCCATTGTATAATCTGCAGAGATTACAGGTGTTACCTTTACTTCCTGTCTCATAGTCAAATCTGGAAGTGAGAGGATATCCCTGAAAAGTAATGTAATCCTCTGCCCCTCAGGTCACCAGAACCACCATCCTCATTGGAAGATTTCCCCTCTATTACTGTTCTGGGAAAAACCCAAAATTTGAAATTTTTCTTATGATAATGATAAACAGGACAAATAAAAACCTGACAGGTATGCTATCCCATCTCCACAACTTAAAAAAAAAAAAAAAGAAAAGGTTTTGCCTTTAGTATTCTGGGACCACTTTGGAAGAGGTGGTCCTGGGCACAGTTCACAAGTGGTCCAAAACAGTTTGTTTCAGTGGAAGTGCAAACCGTACCTGAGCACAGAAGCAGGGATCACTGCAGTCTGGACGATGAGGGTCAGGAACACTTCTTTTAAAGTAGCATGAGTGCTGACCAGCAGGTTAGGGGGGCCAATTGATCTAGGGCCCGGCTCAGTTCAGCCATGCCCAGTGTCAGTGCACCCAGGTGAAATCAATCCTGAATTGTATATCAACAGCATGAAACCACAGGTGTGTGTTGTGTGTCCCACAAGCCAAGGTGTAGTAGTGCTTTCATTTCTGAATGGGCTGACAGCACACTGTATGTGAGCACTGGGTGCCATTGTATGTGTTCAGTACTGATTTATAATGCACATTACTGCAATGCACAGTGGGCAGACAGCCTGTGATCTATTCAGGAAACCAAAGACTTGTGAACTCCTCTATAAATCAGCCTGTGTTCTTATAAAGATCAACAAAATATCCAACTTCCAGCCAATATCACCAACCATATATAATGATTGTCCTGTGTATGGGAACGTATTTCTGCTGTAAGGCAGAACAGCGGGGTCATTTAATAATACGGGGCGGTGGGGATTCAGACTTTATATGCAGGACTAAAAATTGGCTTGTGTTCTGCTTTCCTCTACTCATGATTAATTGTTTGCAGCGAGTCACTTACACTGTTCTACCAAAACTGAGCCACAGGGAAGACATTCCTGGTTGAACGCTGGATTAGTCAGGAGGGAGGACATAGGATTAGGCAGGAGGGAGAACATTCTTGCTTGAATGCAGGATTAGTCAGGATGGAAGACACTGCTAGTTGTACATAGGATTATGCTGGGTACACACTATCAGTTTTTTTTTTTTTTTTTTTTAGTTCAACCCAACAGGCTGACCAAAAAAATAAAAAACTGAAGAACTTGGGAAGAGCTCGCTTTACCAACTATCTGATGTTAGTACGGCAATCTCCCTGCTGAGCTATTGTGTTCTAACAGTGGGCTGTCCCCTGCCAGAGCACACTGGTCAGCCATTGGCTGCCAGCACTGATCGGATGCTGGTTTTACCAGCATGCCTGTTTGACAATAGCTAGCGGGTGTACACATGGGCTGAGTGTTGACCGTTTACTATTGAACCGGCTAATATTCGGTCCGTTTGTACAGGGCTTTAGGCAGGAGGGAAGACATTCTTGGTTGAATGCAGGAGCAGGGGCAGACTGACCATTTGGAAACTCGGGCATTGCCCGAGGGCCCAGGGTCAGTAGGGGGCCCCATGAGATGCCCCTGGTACCTTTTTCATAGGCTTTTTTGAGTTTGGGCAAGGACACAGGGGCCCCATGATCCCCTATTGCCCGAGGGCCCCATGAGTTGTCAGTCTGCCCCTGGGCAGGAGGGAGGACATTCTTGGTTGAATGAAGGATTAGGCAGGAAGGAAGATACTCTTGTGTGTACACCGGATTAGCAAAGAGGGAAGAGATTTCTCAATGTACAACAGGTTAGTCAAGAGGGAAGACATTCCTAAATGTACACTGTATATATAGGAGCATCTTCCCCTCCAGACGAATCCAAAGGATTAGTGAAGAGGGAAGAAGTTCTTGGATGTACAGTACATAGGATTAGTCAGTAGGGAAGGTATTTCTGGATGTACCCAGGAGGAGGGAAATCATTCTTTGATGTACACGGGTGGAAGGACTTCCAGTTGGTTTTTTGGCATTGCAGCTGTGGGATCTGTGCTGAGCACTGATAGGTGGATTTGTAGAACTTCCAAGAAGTCTTGTATTGTATTGTAAATGTCTCTTCTGGGAGATTTTAAATTCCTCGAAGTTCTTCCTTTACATTGAAGGCCTTCTAGGCAGTCATGTTTTGGACGCAAGTTGTTTAATGAATTAGGTGTTGATACAGTTATGGATGATGAATAATCACGTTGCCTGACCCACATTGCTGGTTGTATGAATCACACACGCACTGACAGAACTATGTGGAGCCGTGTGAAGGAGGACAGATTCTTTTCATTAACGTTTGTCATTTTTACAACATATTTTATTGAGGCTATTAATAAAGATTCATGATTTTAATATATGTATACTAGACTCTAAGACCATCATTATAATTTGTGAGATATTTGACCTCCCTGTTAAGCCACCTTGTAGCATGCTTTGGCTTCATTGTTTTAGATAATTCGGTGAAATCATTTCTCTACATGAAACCTGCCGAGGAGAGCGCCGGCTAAAGTCTAGTGGGGAAATTTCTCTATTGTGAGCACTCCCCATTCACTGCAGGCTGATTGGGGAATTCTTCAGTGTAAACGCTCCCCATTCGCTGCAGGGCGATTTAGATATCGTCGGATGTGAGCGCTCCGCGTCCGCTGCAGGGCGATTGAGATATCGTCGGAGGTGAGCGCTCCCCGTCCGCTGCAGTGCGATTGAGATATCGTCGGAGGTGAGCGCTCCCCGTCCGCTGCAGGGCGATTGAGATATCGTCGGAGGTGAGCGCTCCCCGTCCGCTGCAGGGCGATTGAGATATCGTCGGAGGTGAGCGCTCCCCGTCCGCTGCAGGGCGATTATCAGATGAGTTTGCCTTGCCTGGTGCAAGTGAGAAGGATGGGGCAGGAGTATGAATTTTTCCCACCATGAGCTGAATGTACAACACCTGTCCCATCACTGCAGCTCATCACAGCCACTGTGACAGTCAAGATTTATGACAACATATTGGCACATTTTATGTAAGTCCACAATCTGTGGTTACCATGGAGGACGTCCACATTGACACAGACAAGTCTGGAGAGAAATTAGGATATGGCAGACACACACTGTATGATCAAAAGTCTGTGTAGCTCTGACCATCACATCTATATCAGGGTGTTAGACATCCTATTCCTAAACTGTGCCCATTAGTATAGAGTTACCCCTTCTTCGTGGGTGTAACAGCCTCCACTCTTTTAGGAAGTATAACAGTTATATGTGTAAAAAAAATAAAATAAAATTTCACCCAACATAAGCCCAGAGCTGTATAAACAACAACCTAGACTTAAAATGAATGGTGCATATACAATGTATACAAATAAAAGTGAACAAATGCCAATGCAGAATGTTTACAATATATACATCTAATAATATTCAGTGCTATTGTGTGGACAGTAACCCTGGGTTCACATATATGCGGTGCATATTGCATGTGATTCACACAGGAACTGCACTGCGTTCCTATGCAAATTCTGTACGGTGCAATTTGAGCCATACATTCTGTATGGTTCAAATCGCTCCGCAGCAAAAAAGTGCAGGACCCTTTTTTTTTTTTTTTTTTTTTTGGTCCACACTAGAAACGTATTCACATCACACCCATGCAATCCGATTCTGCACATCACACCACATTTTGCAAACAGATTTCGGAGTGTTGTTCACTTAACACACACCCGCAGCCGTTCGTATGAACGGGGTGCGATTGATGCGGTCCGGAATTTGCAGAGGTTTCTGTGTGAATTCCACACCGCATTACAGTGTGAACCCAGGTTGAATAACGGTTATTGGATACTTATTGTATACATTTTTGCATTGGCATTTGTTCATATTTATTTGGATAACATTGTATACGCACTGTTTTGTTTTTTTTACAAGTAATTGGATGCTGCCAGCATTCATACATCTGCCTTAACTCCCTGGTGCTGACAGTACACAAGTGTATGGCCTCTCAGCGGCTGGGCCTTGATGCCAAGAGGCTGCATATTTGTGTACCCAATGATGTGCGGAGAGTGCACTCATGGAAAGGTCTCACCGCTACTTGCAATCAGGAGCTTTCTGACCATGTGACCACCATGACCGCCAATCACGGCAGACACATGACCCTAAAAACTATCTCACGGTGTCAGAAATCCCTTAACGGGCTGGGAGGCACTGGCGCCAAGGGGTTAGTATGCAGTGCAGAGAACAGGGACCTCTGGACAGATAGGAAATCTTTGGAGGATAATTTTATATCAGTAAATCAACAACATTTTCACGGATTTACAGTATCTCAACTATTAAAACATACACTTTGAAAAATGAGGTTACTTATAAAATGATTTACAATAAAATATTAATATAAAACCCATATATATACATAAATAGATTTCAGTGGTTATTCTCACACAGGGACAAGACTGGATCCAGCAGTCAGGGATGTGCTTATTATTGCTGTATGTCACTTCTTCAGGACGTCACTCCATTCAGGGTGAGGCTCCTTGTGGAATCTTTTAGGCCCTCAGAATAAGGCGGCGTTCCTCTCTTTATTGGTGCTGAAAGAAAGGATAAGAAGGTGAGTGCTTTTTGTGGTGCCTGTATCTGTTGTCTATGGCACTTCTGTGTTCATCAACAATCTATATACTCAAATTTGTCATTGGTTTATATACAGTACACGGCTACTTCATGTCTGTGTATTACATGACTGTGTGCCGTGCTAGAAATGTTCAAAAACATATTGATGACAATGGCGGAGAACAGAAAGGTGTGAATTCAGCCTTAAACCTGAAGTTAAATTGGTATATATTTTCCCTTCCCTGTTTCTCACCCCCCCCCCATGCTAATATTTTTAAATAAAACCTCTCTGCCTACCCTCGGCTAAGTTTTACCCCTCTTATGACATGTTTTGCTATTCAGAACTGTGCTAATTTAACTGGTAATTGCACGGTCATGCAACACTGTACCCAAATGAAATTGATATAATTTTTTTCCCATACAAATAGAGCTTTCTTTTGCCGGTATTTGATCACCACTTTTTTGTTTATATAATAGAAAAAAGCAAGACCAACAATTTTGGAAAAAAAAAACAATTTCTCTTACTGTTATGAAACATATCCAATAAAAAAAATTAAATCAAATGTTTCCATAAATTCAGGCGAAAATGTATACTGCTAAATGTCCTTGGCTACAAAAAAAAAAAAGAAATTCCAATAAGTATACAGTGATTGGTTTGTGTGAAAGTTCTAGAATTTACAACCTATGGTATATAGACTGGAATTTACACAGCTATAGCCGCTCTACTGGTAATGGCGGTGATCAGTGACTTCTAGTAGGACTGTGATAGTGTGGCAGACGGCTTGTAGTTGTCAATGAACTGCTGGGAGCTCTCGGTAGATCATTGATGCTTCCTGTCATTGTGTAACTGCCTGCCTGTATTAGGTACAGATAGCTCATATTGACAGTCTGCAGGAGCCGCACCTTGCACTAGCAATCTGCTGACTGCAAGGGCAATGCTTTACAGGCTCCTAATAAAGAATTATAAATACACTTTTGTTTAACCTACAAAAAGATGTGCATTTATTTATATTTAAAAAGGTGAACTCATCCTTTAAAGTTTGTTTTGACCTTGGTCAGGGTTCAGCTACCCAGCGGCATAAGCATCCTCCTGTATGAAAGTGCTGATACACCAGCTGCTGTGAGGACAGCACAATAATCTTCCCACAAAACACTAGAGGATGATGGTTACCAATGAAGCATCATTATTCATGTTTTGGCGAAGGCTTGCCCCCTCATTTCTGCCTAAGCCTTTCCTTTTTTTCACTGCATCATAGCTGCTGCAGTTAAACATCGAAAATTGGAGGAAGGACCAACCATCCATACCTACCACTGAAAACTGGCTTTGGACAGACCAAGTGACCATTGGTGTATCTAAAAGGTCTTTGTCTTCAGGAAAGAATTGGCTGTTTTTCCTTTGCAGCCGTTTCCTAGAGATGTGGACCGATGTGACTATACACCTCTTTGAGGAAATCCCTATTAAAGGAGGTCAAATTGTGAGCTGCCTCATATGATGTCTATGTACAGCTGGAGGTAAGAAGTAACGCCTGGTGCTACTGCTAATCCTTTGTTTGTCAGAAGAAGACAATATTGGCATCCCGAGTCATAGTGGAGATTGGAGCTGTTTGCCTTCGCTCCAGGTATGATCATCAGAGCCCCTCATCTATCTGCCTTCGTCCAGATTTGATTTCCACTTTTGTTTAAGAAGATTAAAGCTGACACGGCATATTTAATCTGCCAAACGGTACAGGACAGGATATAAAGTGAGGAATGTCCTAACTCCTTACAATATAATGTGTATCTGCAAGACCTCAGGGTCCACAGAGAGCCAAGGAACACAGCCCACCTAGAGCGGCTAACGCATACAATACTACTACTGGGCGGAGAGCCAGGAATGTGGCCTGGACCGATTATCTGTACTCAGATGAATGTACTTCCCCAGCTCAAATGAACCACTTCACCAAGTTCCTGGGGTCACCTCACTGTTGGGAGTAGAAAGGAAATGGTTGTGTGTGCCACAGTCACATTCTGTGTACAACACCGAGCGCAGCAAACAATTGGGGGACAACTGACAAGTTTTTACACACAGCAAGAGCTGCCCCCAAACACGACAATTATCCAGCGCACTCCAAATCCATCCTACTGTACACAGAGCCCTCTCGCCATTCACACCGCGCCGGAGCTCCTTTCTTATAAGCTCTGTACAAAGTAAGCCGAGTGCTGCACTTCAACACTTCAGATGTGGAATGTTGTGTTTTCATGAGGAAAACATTTCGCGGGTCACTCTTCAATGCGTAGCCTCCTATTGCTGTATAAATTCCTTTTTTTTCCTTTTTTTTTTTTTGGACAAGTGGAGTTCCTGCTGGGAGCTATAATGAAGCCTTCTCTGTCCATCCTACACTCCACAGCTTCAGATGTAAACTCCAAGTCAGTATTGACATGTGAATAGGATTCAGAATTATCAGCCCATAACATAAGGCAGCCTTTCTCAACCTTATTAATACAGAGAAACTCCTATAATAATTAGAGGGGTGCCGAGACACAAAAGTTATAACTTACTGTTCAGGCCAATGTATCACGAGCTGCAGATATAATAATTAGAAGGGTGTCCTGAGACATAAAAGTTATATCTGCAGCTGGTGATACATTGACCTGAACAGTAAGTTATAAGAATAAATAAAAGTATAACAGGGCTTGACAAATTTACTTTGAATCTAGGAGCCAGTTTTTTGTAGCGTAGGTTGTCAGCGCCTGGGACTTCACGCAATGCAGTTTGCCTCACAACAAACAGCACCATGTTTTAGGTGCCACTGACAATAATAGCACCTGAACCTGCGTTTTACGATCACAGTGATTCTGCTGCAATCCAAAAACGCCCAGCTGTGAATGGAGCAGCACTGGTTTTTGCAATTCTGGATTCATTTTGAAACTCATAGATTTGCATGACAGGTTAGATATGTGTTCCTATTGAGGTGGTTCACACAGATGCATTCCACACGCATTGTGTTTTGAGTGACATTATGAAAAGGGTACTGTGCGAGTTTGTAGCAGTGCATTCCAACTGGCAAGTGATGGCATGCAGAGATAAGCTTTTTGGTATTGACAGGCGTTTGCGCACTGAAGTCTATGGGGCGCGATTTCCCATTCCAGCCTATGGGGTGCGATTTCCCATTTCAGGCTATGGGGCGCGATTTCCCATTCCAACCCATGGGGCTCAATTTTGAATTCCAGGCTATGGGAGGTAATGTGTGAACCTAGGCGCCTGGGATTCTGGTATTCAAGTATAGGTATTCTACATAATAATGAAACAAGGGCAGAGTGTGAAAATTGTAGTGTTCCCTCACACTGGTGGGCTATGGAAAAGTGCTCCCAACATTGGGGGTCAATGAAGTCCTCCCTATAGTGTGAAAAGTGGTAGGCAGTGGGAAGAATGTACCTTACATTAGTGGTCAATGGGAAGAATCCTCCCTTACAGATAGCCAAAAAAATATTGGTGTCAGTGGTTACTGATAGGAGTGGCAGAAACTGCTCAGTTCTTAAGGAACCCCTGAGAAACCTCTGGAGGAATTCTAGGGTTCCATAGAACTGTGGTTGAGAGAGGCTGGCCTAAAGGTCACTTTTTCATTGTAACCAGAAAAGTTAAGGACACTCTGACTGTGGCCACTTCACCAGTCAATGGGAATGTGCAGAAGGTAGGCAGGGGTGAGCAGTGTTGAAGCTTTCTTGTCAGAACTTCCCAAGAAGGGTTAGGAGATGCTACAGGTATAGACACCACCTCCCCCCCCATTGTATACCTACAGCACTCTTTCCTTTCCCCCTATAATACTACACACTTGTCCACAATGTGCATTGAGCAACAATGTTTTTTTTTCAACAGCCACATCATTGGAAGAGGAGGATGTGCCACTTCAAACATTAGTACAGGGAGACTGAGCTGCATAAAGTGCTGTGTAAGCTCTACAAGGCTACAGATCAAAAGCCAATCCCATCCAACTGCGTATCAGTGCAGGACAGAGACTCCCAGCTCATCCATCAGTATGTCAGCCCAGGACAGAGACCCACCACCATCTGCTCAAGTGTCATGTCAGCTGGGATATCTGGGACTCTGTACTGCCGCAATCTAACCAAATCAGATTGATGCGTGTTAGATTAATTGGTATTTGAAGACACAAACTCTTTCATTCATAACATTGTGACCACTGACAAAGTTGATAACATTGATTATCTCGTTACAAGGACACCGGACCTGACCTGAAAGTCAGTGGGATATATTAGGCATCAAGTGAACATGTTGTCCCTAAAGTTGATGAATGGGCAAGCGTAAGAATATGAGCAACTCTGACAAGAGCCAAATTGTAATGGCTGGACAACTGGGTCAGGGCAACTCCAAAACTGCAGCTCTTGTGAGATGTTCCCAGTCTGCACTGGTTAGGACCGACCAAAAGTGGTCCAATGGATGGAAAACCAGTGAACTGGCAACAGGATCATGGGCGACTAAGGCTCATTGATGCATGTGGGGAGCAAAGGATGGACCATGTAGTCTGAAAGGTGTCAGAACACACTGTGAACCGCAGTTTGTTGTGGATGGGGCTGTGTAGGTACAGACCAGTCAGGGTGCCCATGCTGACCCATGGCCACAGCCAAAAGCACCTATGATGGGCACGTGAGCTTTAGAACTAGACCACAGAGTAATGGAAGATGATGGCCTGCTCTGATGAATGCAAGAATGGTTTGAGGAACACGACGAGTTTGAAGCATGGACTTGGCCACCAAATTCTCCAGCTCTCAATCCAATCGAGCATCTGTGGGGATGTGCTGGGAAAAAAAGTCTGATCCATGGAGGCCCCACCTAAAAACTTATAGGGCTTAAAGAATCTGCCACTGACAGCTTGGTGCCAGACAACACAGCATACCTTCAGAGATCTAGTGGAGTCCATACCTCGAAGGGTTAGGGTGGGTGGTTATAATGTTATGGCTGATTAGTGTATAAGGCACTGATGTTGTTCAGCACAGGCCCAATGCAATATCGGGCTGAAATCCATAATTTCTAATAGGCTCACACATGACTGCAGTGGCAAGTACTCGTTGGTCATCACAAGCATTATGATGGATACTATCTCTGAGACTGTCTTGCTGTGTATGGTGCACTACACTGGCAGCACAGCCATTATCTGCAGTGGGGTCCAGAGGGGTGGTCAGGATAATTGGAGGTAGTTCACCTTCTAACGAAAAATGAAAAGGTGAACTTCCCCTTTTTATTTAATGGATTAAGCGTTTGGAAAGATTAACTTTTAATTGGAAATCTCTTCTTAGGTGTATTATTGAAAACTTACAGGTGACATCTGAACGCAGAGAGCTGGACAGGAAGCTGCTGTTTGCACGCAGTGAAGAGGACAGCGCCGATAAGCGGGCGTTCTGGATGTCTGCTTTGAATTTTTCTTCCTGTAAGGCGAGAGAAACTGTTTTTGTTAACAAGAAAAATGCTTCTGTGCAAAAAAATCATTTATTTCTTACCAAGTTGTGCTCAATATGATAAACTATCATTTACATAGTGTATGTGTACATACATACACACATTGCTGGCATCTGTATCAGCTCCTGGGAGGATTCAAACTCAAAGCTGAATTTTAGATCCCTGCATATATTTATTCATTTGAGGAGGACAGTATGAGGATCATTTGTCACCTTGTAAACAAAAACTAAACTTTCCATTGGCCCTTTTAAGAGAATCTTAAAATAGCTCTAAAGCCATGAGGTTTTTTTGCTATTGCTAAACAGAATTTTCCTGATTTGCTGAAGTATGGACGAGTGTGGAATGTACATTTCTGTGTACTATTCACCTCCCTCCCCTGGCCACACGCATCAGGCTAGAGCACCACGGGTGAACTTGGATCACGCAATGAAAATCTCATTATTGATCACGGGTAATTAACTCCATAGAAGTGAATGGGGCCCCCCACTGAGCAGATTGTCAGTGGCCGGGACACACATTACATGCTACGACATTCCAGGAAGTCTCCCTAGTTACACAGAATGGCTGAGGGGAAAAAACAAAAAACAAAAAAAGAACATACTACCGGTCTACATGGCTAACTTTCAAAGACAAACACCTTCAGGACCATTCCTTGATAGAGAGGAAGGCAAATAGCCCACAATACTTCATCTTCTCGATAATGGCACATCCACAATGAGTCACTTCTACCTGGCAATGAGTGACCAATGGTTCGAAAATCCCTCAGAAGTCTATGAAGGATTCTGATGGTGCAGCTATGGGGTACACACACAGAATTGGTTATCTCCCAATTATCGATCGAGCACTACACATAGGAAACAATGGAGTGTAGTAGTGATCACAGTGGGGGCACAGTGCTCTAAAGGTGTGCAAGGATCATTACGTGTTCCTGCATGGCAAGACCACTTACTGTTATCTCACATATATATTCTTATTATTATAGCCAAATTTACCACCCTAACTCCTCCCACAGTTTTTTACACTACATAGACAGTAATATACCGAAACGTGCGGATTGTTCCCGATTGGTGTGCTATTACTTTGTGGAACGTTTCGCTGAATGGTTCACGAAATATTGGCGTTTTTGTGGTGAAATTGGTTCCATAGGAATGAATGGCAGAATGTTCAAAACTAGAGTGGGAGCTGAGAAAAGCTAGAGTGTGTGAGCAGAAAAATCAGGACATGATTTCTAAACTGCCATCACTCCCTCATTTTCAAGACCACCTACACAAATTTTATATCAAAACGTTCAGCTATCCCTGCTGCCACTAAAAATGTCCATGGCTAAGCCATAGTCCTGATAGTTTTCACAATATGACCATTTGTTTGCAACTAACGCCGCCCATTGGCATTCATTGAAACTACACTCTAGCCACCTCAAATTTGAAGGGCAATTTCTAAACTGCAACTGTGCCTTAATTTTTAATATTTCAGAGACATACTATGCATCAAAATGTAGGTCTGGGTCTTGTTATTCTCACAATATAAAGCTCTTTGCTGTAGGATTTATAATTTTTAAACTACAACCATTTGAAAATGGCAACCGCCAGTGAAGTGAGCAAGTTGGAGCAGTTTGTTTTTAACCGCTCTTCTCTGCCCTTTCTGTAGAGTGAGTTGCCATAGGAACCCAGGTGTGTGAGCAGGCAGCAGAGTGACAAGCCACTCCACCCAGTTACTCCGCCCACTCCAGTTGTAGACTACTGGTAGAGGCAAGAACACTTCACACAATTTCCCCGGAAATTGTAGCTTTTCTAGTTACTATATGCACATGTAGGAATTGCTAGCGATTAATCAAAAGATATAGCAGGCGACTTAAATGATGAAATAAGATGATTGTTGTACGATCTCTGAGCTACAATGGGTGATACGTTTATGTACACTCTGAGCCTTTGCAGGCATCTCGGACTAACCAAGCCCATCCAAGGACTGGCCTGAATTTCTGGTCAACTGTACTCCCCCCCCCCCCCCCCCCCCCCAAGTTTAGCCTGAGGCAGGGAGTGTGTGCCAGGTATGGAAACATGACTGCTCAGCTTATGCAAGTTTTTAGGTTTATACTTTAGTTGTTCTAATGAGACACCACTGTGATATCCTACCCCTGTCTCTACTGAGGTGCGTCTGTGTGATATTCTCACCTTGCCTCTAATGGAGAACCCCTGAGATGTTTTACCCTGTCTCTTGTGTGGAGCACCCCTACGATGTCCTCAGTTCTACAGTGGACTGCCATTATGTCGTCTACTCCCTGTATTTACTGTGGAGCATTATTCCTGGCTCTCCATCATCTAAAACAGGGGTTTGCAAACTCAATAACAGATACAAAACCTTGAAAAAGTTTTCCTTCCCGTTGAAATTTTCCACATTTTGTTACAACCAGAAACGTAAATGTATTTTATTGGGATTTTATGATAGACCAACACAAAGTGGCAAATAATTGTGAAGTGGAAGGAAAATTATAAAACGGTTTTCAAAATAAATTTTTTACAAAGAAATATCTGAAAAGTGTGGCATACATTTGTATTCAGCCCCCCGGAGTCATTACTTTGTAGGACCCCCTTTCGCTACAATTACAGCTGCAAGTCTTTTTTGGGGATGTCTCTACCAGCTTTGCACATCTAGAGAGGGACATTTTTGCTCATTCTTCTTCGCAAAATAGCTCGAGAACATCTGTGAACAGCAATTTCCAAGTCTTGCCACATATTCTCTATTGGATTTAGGCCTGGACTGTGACGGCCCATTCTAACACATGAATATGCTTTGATTTCAACCATTCCATTGTAGCTCTGGCTGTATGTATAGAGTCGTTGTCCTGCTAGAAGGTGAACCTCCGCCACGGTCTCAAGTCTTTTGCAGACTCTTAACAGGTTTTCTTCTAAGATTGCCCTGAATTTGGCTCCATCCATCTTCCTATCAACTCTGACCAGCTTCCCTATTTCTGCTGAAGAAAAGCATCCCTACAACATGATGCTGCCACCACCATGTTTCACGGTGGGGATAGTATTAGTTTTCTGCCACACATAGCGTTTTGCTTTTAGGCCAAAAAGTTCAATTTTGGTCTCATCTGACCAGAGCACCTTCCTCCACATGTTTGCTGTGTCCCCCACATGGCTTCTTGTAAACTGCAAACGGGACTTCTTATGGCTTTCTTTCAACAATGGCTTTATTCTTGCCACTCTTCCATAAAGGCCAGATTTGTGGAGTGAACGACTAATAGTTGTCCTGTGGACAGATTCTCCCACCTGAGCTGCGGATCTCTGCAGCTCCTCCAGAGTTACTCTTGGCTGCTTCTCTGATGAATGCTCTCCTTGCCCGGCCTGTCAGTTTTAGGTGGACGGCCATGTCTTGGTAGGTTTGCAGTTGTGCTATACTCTTTCCATTTTCAGATGATGGATTGAACAGTGCTCCGTGAGATGTTCAAAGCTTGCGATAATTTTTTAATAACCCAACCCTGTTTTAAATCTATCCACAACTTTATCCCCGACCTGTCTGCTGTGTTCCTTGGCCTTCATGATGCTGTTTGTTCACTAATGTTCTCTAACAAACCTCTGAGGACTTCACAGAACAGCTGTATTTATGATGAGATTACATGACACACAGGGGGACTCTATTTACTAGCAAACACAAATGCTCCTGCGCTTGGGGATGGACTCGATGCAGGCTACAACCACATAAGGAATGTCCTGGAACATGCACACCTTGCTGCCCTCAAATGGACCGAGGAAATCCAAATATACTGAATGAGGAAAGAAAAAACAGAGGGCACACAGGCCTAGTGCATTACCATAAAAAATGTTTAATAAAAAATAAAGTATGTGTTGTACTCACAAACGACAATATAGTCAAGGCACATCATAAAGCACACCTGGGTCAACACCGCGCTGAGTAACAGTCCGCAATAGGGAGTATAGACATCCAAAAGACTGACGCGTTTCGAGGACTTGCCTCTTCCTCAGAGCCAGGCTTTATGATGTGCCTTGACTATATTGTCGTTTGTGAGTACAACACATACTTTATTTTTTATTAAACATTTTTTATGGTAATGCACTAGGCCTGTGCGCCCTCTGTTTTTTCTTTCCTCATTCGGACTCTATTTACTAATTAGACAACTTCTGAAGGCAGTTGGTTCCACTATATTTTAGTTAGGGGTATCAGAGTAAAAGGGGGTTGAATACAAATGCACGCTATACTTTTCAGATATTTATTTGTAAAAAATTTTGAAAACCATTTATCATTTTCCTTCCACTTCACAATTATGCGCCACTTTGTGTTGGTCTATCAGATCAAATCCCAATAAAATTAATTTTTACGTTTTTGGTTGTAACGTGACAAAATGTGGAAACTTTCAAAGGGTATGAATACTTTTTAAAGGCACTGTACATATCAAGTTAATCATGAGTGACCCCCACTGTCCACCAGCTTCCATACCTCCTCGTTGCACCTCAGATTAGAGGGGCATTGCAGAGCCATGAAAAGCTAACCTGTTCAGCCATGCTGGTCTCTGCTATACTCCTCTCACATCCATCCCAGGTGCTTGTATGTTTTATTATAGAGATAGACCAGGTAGCTTTGTTTAGCCACTGCTGTGACGATCGTGGTGTCAGACCCCTGACCTTCTCTCCAAACTCATGACCAAGGAACTAGCAATCTAAAACCGCAATGTCACGGGTGTAACAATGCTGCACCCTGCACAACGATTTTCCATCTAATGGATCACCAATCAATGTACCGGTAGCCTGAATGCGATTGTTACTGGGTCAGGTTAATTGCGCAATTAACCCTTCACACTGCCACCACCTCCTTTTGTACAGAGGAGGAAACTCGCTATAACACTATGATGGTTGAGATAACCGTCTGTATAGCACGGTCACCACAGACCTGACAGCCCATTTTGTAGTCCCCCAGCAGGGGGTGTCTTAGTAATGTAAGCACTTCTTACAGGGAACATATTGGCGGCACTGGAGAGACTTATTAATGCAATAATTATGAGCAGCACCATAGTGGGGAGAATTCTAATGGGGGAGCTCACCAGGAGGATATTCCTGTGGCACTGCACTGACCACCAATGTAAAGAAAGCATTACTTGGGGGGGGGGGGGGTTTTGGGGTGGTCAAGCACACACATCCATGATTTATCTTATCCCCCTATCATCACTGACCATGGTTTCTTCCATCTCTTTAAAGCGAATTTCCAACTCTCTGTGGTTGCCAACCCCCTGCTCTACAGTGTCTTCAGTTTTAGCTGGACCTACACTTTCATGTTTGCTATGGCAGGTGTAATGAATTGATCACATGAAAAAAAGTTTTCATAATTTGGCCCAGCCCCTAGATGTGGATAGGTCGGTGAAAAGCCCTTACAATGTGGATAGGTCAGCGGAGACCTCTCTAAGGTGACAATGATGAATGGCATACCCTGTATTCCTGGATTCGCCGCTTTGAGTCTTCCAGCTGTTGCTGCAAGGAGCCGATGATCTCCCGATACTGCGCGTACCTTTCCTCCATTACTTCACGCTGGAGGTGAGAGTCCTACACAGAACACAGATTATCAGGTCAATACAGCTGCAGGGAAAAAGTAGTCCGATGTCATTCTGTATCACCCATTATATACAGACAGGTCCGTGACCTCTGCTTTATTTAGGCAAATCGGCTTCATTAAAGCATAGATGGCATTTAAAGAACTTGCTGAACCCAGGCAAATGGCTAAATACACAAATGAAGCACTCTACTTACTTTGAAGCGGTTTTACCTGCTAGAGACGGTGTATTCCTATCTATCCAGTCCTGAGATGAAAGTAGAACTATAGGCAAAATATTTTTAGTTTTTTTTTTTAGATGGATTAGAACCAGTCAGGTTTGCCTCTCTATTTGACCTGTTTACCATCACCACCAAGAGGGAAATAAAATCACACATTTTCAGGTTGGACCCAGAACTGGAATAGAAGAGAAATCCTCCAAGAAGGATGCTAGTTCTACTTTATCACAGCCCTATCTGGCAGAGCAGGAGACCCGATTTTTCTCAGCTGCAGTTCACAAACACTTACAGGTCTTGTCCTTTCCCCAGCCTATGACTGGACAATGGAGGAGAAGCGATAAACTCCCTCTGTCGCACCGATTTCCTCCTCCAGCACCCTGAACCTTGCACAGCAGAACAACTGATTGACGCTTTTTGCTGCTCCTCCCACCCATAGTCTCAGCTTTACTGCACAGATAATGCAAGAGACTGATTAAGTGTACAATACTAACATTTTTTTTATTTTATTAAATGCTCAGATTACCCCACCAAAGAGCAGAATTTACTGGGCGAATATTCCCAGGCTATGAAACTGCGATGATGAATGTCTATATATTGGCCTCCGGCTCTCGCACAGTGACTGCACGCCAAGCCACGATCTGCTTGTAGTCACAGTTAAATCTGTAGAAAGCGCCTTCGTTTCTGGCGATACACATACGGTAACCATGACGCCACACCTGTTTCCCATTTTCACCCCTCCACACACATACCAACATATGGGACAAACATCTCCCTATTGTGCCGATAAAACAAATCCTTATAGAGTGATATTTCAGCTATATAGAAGCAGGAATAAAACATATTGGGCCCATCGCTCTCCAGTCTAAAAAAAAACCCATACTAAAACCATCCAGCATCGCTGTCTCCTGACCAGTCTGACACAAATATGTAATCTGCCTATTCTGTGTGGACAGAAAACTCCTCTAAGGAGGTATCTAAACTCAATGCAAAGGGAACCTGTCTCAGAGCAAAATACCTGTCCTAGAAGGATATGCTGGGATGATGATCCTAGAGTTATGGCCCCCAGTCTTCCAGACAGTTGAACCTTCCCTGCCCAAAGACCAGGATGAAGGAGAGGCCTGTGTAGTCTTAGGTCTACAGACCAATACCTGGCCCACAAACCTACAACCTCATCACCAACCAAGGTTCTATATAGAGAGATGGAACCAGACTGGCACCCAATAGTGTCACATAGGATGGAGTCTTTTGGGAAGAGTAGTGCAGGTTCAGTGGCAGACCTGTCTGTGGCATAGAGGGCCTCCCTGCAGCCTTTGACATCACCAAGGGGCTGTGGTCTGATATTCAGCTTGTACAGGGATGGTCAGAGGCTGCAGATATGCTACAGATGGAGTTGTCAACTGGAGAAAGTCAGAGACCTGGCCCATGTGTCATGAGACCACTAGGGATCACTGCCATTACAGTCACTTGCCTTCAATATTCCCATTGCCACTAATGACTGCTGGGCTCTGAGGGCTGCACAATAAGAACCAAAGGGTTGGAGACCGAGCACCAGGGACCTATCCATGTGGCTAAAGCTTAGCATGCTGCTCCCCAGAATTTCATCAGAGAGAGTGCAGTGGTTAATAGCACACCCACCCATACCTGCTCCATATGTTGGGTGTCCCACAGGCACCCAGCCTACAGCATGTTTTGCTTCAGAGAGCGGAGTAGGATGATCTGACCATCTCACCAGCCTGAAGGAAGGGGAGTGGTCATTTTTTTATCCAGTCTTTGGGGCACTTTTAGTACCGTATGCACACAGATTTATCAGGACACCAATGTCTGTGTCCTACAGGGGTAAAAGGTCAATCCTAAGGCACGACTAACACAGGCCATGATTGCACAGGTATGACAGCTCATTCATTTCAATGGGCTGCTGTGCCTGTGTTTTCTGAAGGGAAAAGGCCTCATGCACACTGGGCATGTGCCAAGCTCTTCAGAATGTCTTTTCTCCTGCCAGGAGAAAAGCAGCTTAAAAAACACACCTACAGCTGTGTTTTGCAAATGTGCTTAGGTGCGTCAAGCATATGAGCGTATGTATGGGTTATTAATATTCATTTATTCTGGCCACTGAAATGAAAGAAAGCTCGAGCACTAAACATGTCTAGTACTTTGATGCATTGGACATTTTTTTTTTTATGCTCAAATGCTCCTCTCCTGAAAGCTTGTTTTTTTTTTGGTGTGGGGGGCAGCCTCTAACCACTGCTCTTCTAATACGCCTGTAAATGCCTATGTGTGCATGGCCATATAGGCTAACATAGGTGTTTAGAGGTTAGGGTCAAAAGGTCCAATTCCCTTAAAAACCCTGCTTTTTTTTTTTTTTTTTAATACCCATTTTGCATGAGGTCAAAAGGTTCCTGCACCTTTTTAAATCGTGGTCATATGGTAATTGTATGGTGCTTGATGAAGAATATTATTGTTTATCGGAGGTACAACATGTACAGATAGAGCCAATGGGCTTCAGTGAAATCCCCCCCCCCCCCTTCAGGGCTGTTGGTACAATCTAATGGAGACTGATAGGTTTGGCAGTTGTACCTAAGTTTTATATGAAAGCTGATGGCTGCTTGTGAGATGCAGAGACAGAAAATCTCTGCCACCTAATATATATCAAGAACCATTCTAATGGTCCGGCACAGTCTCTAGCTCAAATGAAGAGTTAATGACACCCCCATGCATTTTCTTTAAAGCACCGTGTCTTGTGTGTGGCTGTGGGAATGCATGCGATTTACAAGCATTCCTATACCCGCATGGATGTGAACCTTGTCTTTCCTTTTAATGAGAGAGCTGAGGGCTCTGTGAAATCTGAGCTCTTATCTGAAATCAGCTTTGTGCTTCCATAGATACTTCTTTAGTTTTGTAAGGATGCCAATACCAGGCAGCCCATCTCAGCAGCTGATTACAGACCTCAGTACATGGCTGGCCTGGGGGAAGCTAATAAGAGGACTATAAATCACGAGCAGCGCCCTCTGTAAGCTGAAGGCATTTAACCCATGCATGGGGAACCTCTTCAACTCTGAGCTATGAACTCTGCCAAACGATGGAAATACAGACGTGATTCATATGGTTTCCTGCAGAGCTTCCACAATGCCCTGATCACCCCATGGCATCTGAGGGTCCTGCTCTCTCCATGTCCCTCATTGTCTACGAGACCTGCAATGACCACAGCACAACACCAGAATACTAATCGTCTCCTACACTGTACACTATATCCAGGCACTGAGCAAACATTGGTGGATCTCTCACTGTACTAAGCTCTCTCCTCTGAAACAATTGTATGACTTGTAGGTTGAACATTTATGAAAAGCTGTATTAGTGCATTATCAGAGAAAGTGTTTACATATTTGTTTGCCGTTCTTCACTTAGAAGAACGATTCATTTTGCCTTTAGTATGTAAGTTAGCTGATTTTCTAAATTAAACACTCAGAATATTTGGTGCCTTAGCTGTCAGTAGTGAGTCACAGACACGGCATAGATACCCCAGGAATGATCTGGTGACATGCTGAGAAAGAGTGCCCCTAAAGTCATTCCCTCACATACACTATATTGCCAAAAGTATTAGGCCGTCTGCCTTTACACACACATGAACTTTAATGGCATCCCAGTCTTAGTCTGTAGGGCTCAATATTTGAGTTGGCCCCACCCTTTGCAGCTATAACCGGTTCAACTCTTCTGGGAATGCTGTCCACAAGGTTTAGGAGGGTAACTATGGGAAGGTTGGACCATTCTTCCAGAAGCACATTTGTCAGGTCAGGCACTGATGTCTGACGAGAAGTCCTGGCTCACAGTCTCTGCTCTAATTCATCCCAGAGGTGTTCTATGGGGTTGAGGTCAGGACTCTGCAGGCCAGTCAAGTTCCTCCACCCCAAACTCGCTCATCCATGTCTTGGGAAGGGGACATTCCCAAACTCTTCCCGCAAAGTTGGGAGCATGAAATTGTCCAAAATGTCTTGGTATGCGAACACCTTAAGAGTTCCCTTCATTGGAACTAGGGGTCCAAGCACAACCTCTGAAAAACAACCCCCCACCATAATCCCCCCTCCATTAAACTTTATACTTGGCACAAAGCAGTTAGGCAAGTACAATTCTCCAAACCCAGAAACGTCCATCAGATTGTCAGACAGAGGAGTGTGATTGGTCACTCCAGAGTACACCTCTCCACTGCTCTAGAATCCAGTGGCGGCTTGCTTTACACCACGGCATCCGACGCTTTGCATTGCACTTGGTGATGTAAGGCTTTGATGAAGTTGCTCGGCCATGGAAACCCATTGCATGAAGCTCTCTACGCACTGTTGTTGTGCTCATCTGAAGGCTACACCAAGTTTGGAGGTCTTTAGCTATTGATTCTGCAGACAGTTTCCGACTTCTTCGCACTGTGCGCTTCAGCATGTGCTGATCCCGCTCTGTCATTTTTATGTGGCCTACCACTTGGTGGCTGAGTTGCTGTTGTTCCCAGTTGCTTCCACTTTGTTATAATCCCACTAACAGTTGGCCGTGGAATATTTAGTAGCCAGGAAATGTCACAGATGCACTTATTGCACAGGTGGCAACCTATCATGGGACCACGCTTGGAGTCACTGAGCTCCTGAGAGCGACCCATTCTTTCACCAATGTTTGTAGAAGCAGTCTGCATGCCTAGGTGATGATTTTATACACCTGTGTCCATGGAGGGGATTGGAACACCTGAATCCAATGATTTGGAGGGGGGTACTTTTGGCAATATAGTGTATGTATGGCCAAGGCACAGGAGGACAGTAAACAGAACTGGATTTCATGGTATGTGTTATTTTAAGAAGTTACATTGGGTTTAGGTTATGGCGAGTTTGGATGAAACATTCTTATTGGTCTGTAGATTATCTTTTGCACTGCCAGCACCCCTCAGGAGTTCCCAGCATCTATTCTCTTTTCTGCACTTTACTGGTTCAGGCTGTTTGGCTTGTACAATGTAAAAACATGGTGTTTTTAGGCCTCCGAGAGGCCCGCTGCCAGCAACTTGCTAAAATCAATCCCACAGCCATGGAGGTTTGGGGTGTATGAAAGGCCAAAAGTCATATTTACCTGAATTTTCTATGTGGTAATTGAATTCCCTTGTAAGCTATGGGCCATTTCTGTACTTTCACTTTTTTTTGTAAAATAAAATGATCTAATAGATTTTTACCACATGAGAGACTTGACCCTGGCCTGGGAGCCATGAAAGGCAAAGTAGGCTATGGTAGACATTGTGTATGCTGAGCCTGGTATAATAAAAGTATGACTCCTGTGCTCCATGGGTATGATCCCCCGTCCTGCCCACATAGATCTCTGTATGTGTTAGCCTGTGTACTGGGTCCTCGGCCTCTCCCACAGCCATGGGCTCGGGGCTATTCAGCAGTGACCAGGCTGTTGTTTTCCTCCTGTATATTATGGAGATTCTTGTTCTCTGTACAATGATAATAAGCAAAGTCCTATAATGCGGCAGGTCTAATCCCAGTGAATAGAACAATAGCTTTCTCACAGCTGTGCGTTCCCATCAGCCTCCACAGGACCCGATTGTATCTGTAGGTCTGAGTGCTACTATAGCAGAGCACTGACACTGCAAGCTAAAGAATGGTTCGCATTCATGGCAGCCCCATTCAGATCATTTTCTCAAGGTCGTCCCATACTCTATTTCCCCCCTTTGTTCCCTCACACCGGAATACGAATGTCCTAGGGGCCCTATTCATTACAAATGAACATTGTGAGAATTGCTTGTGGTTTCTCAGCTCTCGGGGCGCAGAGATTAGAGGTAAGACCCCCACCACATTCCTGTGTCCCCCTTCTGACTGCTGGAAGGGAGGCGGCCTGTCCTGGGAACGCACTCTGTGCACATGCAGGTTATTGTCCTGTACGGTGTTGGAAAGAAGGCAGCAAACATAGCGCTTGTCTGCGTCACGGACTCTCAACGTCACATCTACTATTATAAATGCATTTCTCTGCAGGACGTGTAGTGATCAGGTGTCTCCCAAAAAACAGATTTGCATGGCCAGCTTTACTTTTTTACTTCCCGCCAGAGGTGTAACTAGAACCTTCAGGGGCCCGGTGAAAGAAACCATTGAAAGGCCCCACCCACTGACCCCAAGGCCCTTTACTCCCATCATGGGACACTTTATTATGGTCCTACAATAGGCCCCCTTTTTGCTGTCTTAGGGTTTCCCCACCGTGGTGAAACGCCAGGGCCCATTCGCAAGTGCAACCTTTGTGACTCTGGTAGTTCCGCCACTGGCGTCAGCTTTTTATTATTATTAAGCAGCATTTATATAGCACCAAAAATTTGTGCAACACTTCTCAACATGAGGGCAGACAGTACAGTTACAATCACAGGGCCCTGCTCATTAGAGCTTACAATCTATAGGGGAGGATAGATTTTTTTTATTTTTTACCATTTTATGCATTTATTTTTTAGTAAAATATTAGGGGCCTGGGGCAGAAGGACAGGGATAGGGAGGAGACATGTAGAGAAACCGATGCCCTCCATTTCCCTCTTGCTACCGCTGAATGTCTGAGGAGAAGTGGGTATTCAGTGGCTGCATGGAGGGATCGGTTCCTGGAGCTGTATGGTCCTCCTGGAGCATGGGACTAGTTCCCAATTGCGACCCTTGCAACCCCTGTACTTATGCCTCTGTCTGCAGAGCACTGCAGCATGCATATCTGCCAGCAGTAGAGATAATAGTAGAAATCTGTAATATTCCATCGCTGTGCAGTGTGCCTCTAGCTAACAATACTTCTCCCACAGCCTGCAATTATTTAAAGCCGAGCTCCAGCCTCACCTTCAGTCTTGGACAGTTTGTACACAGACAGCAATAAACACCTGACAGAAGGTCCAATCCTTTCCTGCTTCATATAAAACTAAAAACAGTTTGTCTCTGCAATGTCAGGTAGTGATCATCTTAGGCCCCAGTACTGTGCGTCTGTACTAGTCATTGTGGAGGGCTGTCACTGTGCTCATGTGTGGCCAGGTTGTGATCATTATATGGTAGTTGTCACTGTGCACTCCTGTACTAGTCATGACAGAGCTGTCACTGATCAAGTACTGGTCATAGCAGAGGGCTGTCACTGTACTCATTGGGTGGTCAGGTAAGGAGCATTTTAGAGCCACAGTCACTGTGCATGGGCTTGTCATTGCATGGCCATTATAGGGCCATTGTCAGGTCTGGGATCTGGACCCAAAACCTCTGCTGCATACAGAAGTGACTCTCCTTGCTGAACCACCTGAGATGTTGGACTGCATCATGTGTGAACCCTTGGATAATCTGGTCTTGTACCTTGTTTCTGGTGAACCTTGAACTCCTTGCTCCACTTATGAACTTCCGATTTAATCCATGTCTCTACACTTCCAGTTTGCCAGATTATGGTGTTCTCTCCAGCTGATATCTTGCTCCATTGCATACCTGCAGCTGTCCTCATCTCCACTACCACTTCTGACCTTTAGCTTGTTCCTCGACTATGCTTCCACTTGATTCCAACCTACTATATCTGCTACTGGACCACGGTTTGCTTAGCCCTTGGTGGGGCGATCCAGAGGACCGTGACCTAGTACTAACACGCAGCAAAACCCATCATCACCATCAGGAGCTCTGGAAGATACCAGTTGGTACTTAGACCCCGCACCTCAGATGAACCTGTGTCATCCTCCAGGGTGACCTGCATGTGTACTTATGCAGCTGATCAGTGGGAGCCTCTCTACTCTACCTGACTGTGACAGCCACTGTCACTCTGCATTCCTGTACTAGTCATGGCAGATGACTGGTCTTTGTGTGGCCAGCTTGTGGTCATTACAGGGCTGTGATCACTGTGCTAGTCGTGGCAGAGGTCTGACCATAGAGCTGGACACAATTTCCAGTCTGTAGCTGGCAGGAGACATACAGCAAGGGTGGTAGATGTGGTTTGAGCTTTCCTTTCCACACTGCACCAGTACCCTGCATTATTACCTGTAAAAAAAGTTCTACAGAAATTCTGCATGTTATCAGGAGCGCTCTTTAGGCAAAGTTCTGAGGGAAGGGAAAAGGGTCTCTGTGGTGTGCGTACACCAAGAATGGACATCGAACATTTACCTGTCAGCAGACCACCATGAGCCTCTGCTCACAATAACATCAGTTGTCACAATCTAACAGGTCAGCAGATGTGTTTTGAGTGAATTGCATGCACTCACGTTTAGATCCTTCATGTCATCCAGCAGATTGAGCTTCTCTGGAACAGACTCCAGGTGATCTAGAGCCATCCGTGTACTCTGAAATCACAAAGAGGCGAGTCAGTACAAAATGGATAGAAAAAACTGTCCCCCTTTGTTACTTACCTGAGATGTGGGTGTCTGCTCTGTGCATGAGATATGGCCCATGGCAGTCTGTTTAGGAACATTTAACCTTGTCTTTGTAGAAGTGCGCAATGTTCATATAAAATCACTTTGCGGTTTTCTCATTTTCCCAGAACAAGGGCCGTATGTGGACTTTCAGGCCCAAGGACGAGAAAAAATTGTCTAAAAGCCAACCACAACCACCGATACTATGTCATTATAACCCCTTAGAGCTGGACCTTTGAGACGATCTTAACACCAGTGTGTTTCCTGATCATGTGATCACTGTGATTGACTGTCACTGTAATGATGTCATCAGGAATCCGTCTTATCGTCTCCCAAGCATTGTTGTGTGACTAGAAGTGGTCGGTGACAGTGCGGTCCCAGCACCAGGAGCGTGCAGATGAGTATGCTCCCAGTACAAAACACATACGCATATGTGTGGCAGCACAGCATGAGGCCCACCCCTGTACTGCACATATATACATGATGGGGAGGGATGAAACAAGCTGCTTGTCAGCACTGAAGTCTGCTAGTAGTTTTTGTTTAAAGAGACAGCACCCCCATTACTATCTGTAACTAACCTCACCAAAGTGGAGTTCTACATTCCTAAAGCTTCCATCCATCTCTGTAAAAACTTTTAAAGCAATGTTTTGTATGGAAAGGTTGCTGCACACATTTCTCTGCACTGAAGCCTTCAAAAGCCCCCAGGTCTTTCCCGATCACACAGCACATTAGGTTACACTAAGACTGCCTGTAAATGGAGATAAAGTGGTTGTAGACCCTCACATATACCCAGTGAGGTAAATGGCCTCAGGTGACGCACAGAGATGAAACAAATACTCCCACATAAGTTGTATCCGTTTATCTGTAGTCTTCTCTATATACATTCAAAGTGTTGACTTTATAAAGCTTGTGGAAGTGTTCAGAAAAAATGGGGAAGAGAGCAGATATTACAAACTTCAGAGCTCAGTAAGGAGAGCTCTGAGAACTGATTGGAGAGAAGAGACACACCCCCTCTACACAGCTCACAGGAACAGAGCTGATGCTGTCAATCACAGGCTGTGTGCTGGAGCTCCCTCCCCATCACCATTTTTCTTTTGGTGTCAGGAAAACTTGTCAGAAATGACTCATGCTGATAGAGGAACGAAGCAGCAGTGCTCTGGATTGAGACACGTACACACTATATGGGGATATGCTTTGTTCATATTTCATGTCTGAGGTTTACAACCACTTTAAAGTAGAACTCCAGGATAAATCTAACTAATCCCTAAAACTGTCCCTTCCCCCCTCTTAACACCTCTATTAACTAACCTGTGTAAGAAACACGTATATACTTACCTATTTTCAGGATATTCTGGTCATGTGATCTCTTGTCTGCCAGCGCCGAATGCAGGGGTAGGAGAGAGCGCTTAACAAGTTATACCAGGGAGTGGTGACTTCACTCATAGGGTTGCTATGGCCCATCCATTGTTGGCACTCCCTCCTCTCCCCTACAGCCACCACTAGCTGACACAGGGGAGCTGGATCATGTGACCAGAGCAGCCTGAAAATAGATATATCGATCGATCTATCTTTGTTACACAGGTTAGTCAGCATGGGGGCAACTGACACTGACAGACCACAAATTTGTGGCTTCCCAGCAGCTGGGCTTTGACACTGAACGGCCACATATTTGCGTACCATTTGTAAACAAACATGCGCTGAGAGCGAGCGCCCTGTGCACTCCCAGCACCTGTCAGTGTCCCATGGAAAGGTCCCGATCTCTCCCTGCGATCGGGACCTTTCCGAATCATGTGACTGATGTGACAGCCAATCATGACGGTCACATGACCCTAAACCCCAACCCCACCTCCCGGCGTTAGAAACCCCTTAAAGGCCCGGGAAGCCCTGGCGTGAAGGGGTTAAGGTCAGTTAGCGTTTGCCTGGAATTCTACTTTAAGGCTGATAGCAGGATATGGAACATTACTGTTCTGCTCCAAGGTGAGATGGGAGGGTTTCTATTCCTGGGACCCGCAATGAGTGACAGGAAACACCAGGCAGTGTTGATGTATTGCAGAGACTATGATGAAGACCATCTGCTCTGGCATTGCTCTATAATGCCAATTACGGCAGGTTTACAGTGCCGCATTTCACCCGAAATCCAATTTATCCCAATATGCTGCAATTCAGGTACAGCTTCTATGGCTCTACACTAATGTCTCCGGATAATGCAACGCCGGCTGAGGAGAAGAACCTACTAAAACGAAGGACACATTATACAAGGTGCTTTTATGTCCTTCACCATATGTAAAAACCCAAGGTGTGGGGAGTTCGCGGTCGCTGTTTTCACTGGGATAAACCTACACACTTTGTTGTAGTATATTTCCCGAAAGTGCCGCATGCCGCAGTTTATGTGCGTTGATTGCCATTCAACCCACTGTGGAAATGTCTTAGTGGTCAGCACTTCTGCCTTGCAGCACTGGGGTCCCCAGTTTGAATGCCAACCAGGACACTATCTCCATGGAATGTGCATATTCTCCCTGTGCTTCTGTGGGTTTCCGGGACTATCTGCTTGGAGTTTGCATATTCTCGCTATGCTTGTGTGGGTTTTCAGGACTATCTGCATGGAGTTTGCATATTCTCCCTATGCTTGTGTGGGTTTCTGTTGGGTATTCTGGTTTCCTCCCACACGCCAAGGATAACTGGCCCTAGAATGTGAAATAAGAACCTTAGATCGTAAGCTTCCTCTGGAAGGGACTGACATGTATGTGCACTATGTAAAGCACTGTGTAACTTGTCGGCGCTGTATAAATATCTGCAAAACATACATTATCAGCACTCATGTATTGGACAGCTGGAGCCCAAAATGGTTAGCAGAGATATTTATTGGCTCCAACGTGTAATAAGGGCTTCTTGGGTCCCCCTGCTGGATGCTGATGGAAGCTGCAGTGGGTCTCTGTCCTGTACACCTGAGCTGGGCTGTTCTGCAGAGATCAGTGGAAAGCACCTGAGGAGCAGCAGCAGCAGCTCCTGCTCATGTCATTCCGCTGTGTTCAGCAGAACAGTGTATGTGCTATACATAGGGGCTCCATGTGCTGCCTTCTATCACACTCCTAAGACAGGTTTACTTCAAGGAATAATGTCCTGTTTATGCCTTTGGTGGACGGTTTTGGTGCATGCGATCTTAGTACGCCAGTCAGAGGTAAACAATTCCTTTCCACTAACCTCCATAGATTAGGACTGACCTGTTCCACCCTTGTATTTCAGGAATTTACATAAGACAGTGATGAGTTTTGGGGGTGTGATTTCTGCACACACCCTGACCCCGCAGGGACTTTTCATTTTACAGAGGGTTGTGTAATAGTGCAGATAAAGACAAGATTGACTTGTCCAATCTAGACTAAACTGGCATTCAGTGTTTTATCAATTCATTGCTTTTGGCAGGGCCTCCTCCAGAGGTCAGTCACTGCGCAGCCTGTGGCCCCTGATCTAGCTGCATGAGAAGGCGGCCTGCGCCTCCCACCTCACCAGACTGCGGCCTCCCATCAGTGAAATAATATGACAGCGCAGGCCGGCTCCAGACAGCCTCACCATCCACAAAAAGTACAATCCTCTTAGGAAACTGAGCCGAGATGGGAGATAAAGCACCCAATCAGAGAGCTGTCACTGCAGCGCACAGAGACTTTAATAATTCCCCACCGCTCGTGTCCTTCCTGTAGATCAGATTTTTGTCAAGCCGTTTGTTACCAGAGATACACAGTGCCAAAACAATTTAACACTTAATCTGTCAGCTGCTTTCTGTCTGCCAATAAACCCGCAACAAATTGGCGAAATAAAGAATGTTTTATTTAGGGGAAATAAAAGGATGGTTATTGCTTTATTCAGGTGCTGGCAACCCCAAGCACGCGAGGCTCTTTGTGCTGGCACCCTCTGCCGTTAGCTGTAATTGACAGCCCACTAGGCGGTCCGTTACACAGCCTGGCCCTCCCACCTCTCTGATGTCACTAAAGGCCAGCCAGGGACTGAGGACATTGGCCTGCTGTGCTGAAGAAGCCCGCCTCCATGTCTATACCAGTACCTGGAAGGTGCATGCATGGGGGCTGAGCTGAGGTTCAAAGTCCACACGTTGGGGCTGACCTGATGACTAACGTGCATGCATTGATCTGAGATCCAAAGTGAATGCATTGGGGGGCTGATCTGAGGTCCAAAGTGCATGCAGTGGGGGCTGATATGAGGTCCACAAATGTTACATTTTGGGCTGATCTGAGGTCTAAAGATATTGCATTGGGGGCTGATCTGAGGTCCAAAGTGAATGCACTGGGGCCTGATCTGAGGTCTGAAGTGAATGCATTGGGGGGGTCCAACGTTCATGCAGTAGGGGCTGATCTGAGGTCCAAAGTGCATGCAGTGGAGGCTGATCTGAGGTCCAAAGTGCGTGCAGTGGGGACTGATCTAAGGTCCGAAGTTCATGCAGTAGGGGCTGATCTGAGGTCCAAAGTGCATGCAGTCGGGGCTGATCTGAGGTCCAAAGTTCATACATTGGTGCTGATCTGAGATCCAAAAATATTACATTTGGGGCTGAGCTGAGGTCTAAAGATATTGCATTGGGGGGGCTGATCTGAGGTCTAAAGTGAATGCATTGGGGGGGCTAATCTGAGGCCTGAAGTGCATGCAGTGGGGGCTGATGTGAGGTCCAAAGTTCATGCAGCGGGGGCTGATCTGAGGTCCAATGTTCATGCAGCGGGGACTGATCTGAGGTCCAAAGTGAATGCAGTGGGGGCTGATATGAGATCCAAAAATGTTACATTTTGGGCTGATCTGAGGTCTAAAGATATTGCATTGGGGGCTGATCTGAGGTCCAAAGTAAATGCACTGGGGCCTGATCTGAGGTCTGAAGTGAATGCATTGGGGGATCCAAAGTTCATGCAGTAGGGACTGATCTGAGGTCCAAAGTTC